GCCTATGCAGGAAATACATATATTTCAGTCTATGTATTTTTTAATGAACTGTTCCACCTGCCTGAGTAACTGATTATGTACCTGAAAAATTTTTCTTTTGAGGTGCCTGTACTGTAACCTAGTTCTTTATTCCTAGCAGAATTGCCACAGTCTAACCTTATTGATTAGTATCTGTTTATTTATTATTTACCTTGGTAATTTAGAGAACATGCTTCTGGGTTCAGGCATCATCTTGAATACTCTTTGAGGATGCTTTTTGGTCATTTCATAAACTGTTCTCGTTACTCCCATGCAGTCTTTCAGGCTTATTGTTCCATCCTAGTTTGAGCCAGCATATAGAAAAAGTGAAGAAAGAAAGACTATAAAAAATAAATTTCCACACACATTATTCTTGAAGCACTTGACTATTTCCTGAAATGCCTTTCATCCTGGAGAGTCTGTTAATCTGACATCTGAGTGTTTGGCAGAGAGGAAAGCTCACATGGGAAGGACTCGTCATTTTTTAAATGACAGTGACTGCCTGCATGGAGTAAGCACCAACTGCTGAGTAGACATTAGTTTTAAGCTTTGGATAGGCTATGTTGGAACTCTCCCTGTAGCCACATTTTTCCCTAATTATGATTAAGCAGTAGAAATACACAGGAATGAGGAACTACTTAAGAGACTCTCTAAGAAAATGCAGACTTGATGGTGGCTCTGTGATGATCATCTGATGAGATTTTGTCCTGGGTTCAGCTACAGCAGTCATTTTTTCTCCTTCTTAGTAGCTGGTGCAGTGCTGCGTTTTTGACTTTCAGTCTGGGAACAATGCTGATAACACCGATGTTTGTAGTTGTTGCTAAGTAATGTTTACTCTGACCAAGGACTTTCTCAGTCTCATGCTTTGCCAGAGAGGAGGGGAAGCCAGGAGGAAGCAGAGACAGGACACCTGACCCAAACTGGCCAAAGGGGTATTCCATACCACAGCACGTCATGCCCAGTATATAAACTGGGGGGAGTTACCCGGAAGGCCCAGATCGCTGCTCGGGTCGGGCTGGGTATCGGTCGGCGGGCGGTGAGCGGTTGTGTCCTTTTCCCTTGTTATTCCTCTTATCATTATTATTGGTAGCAGTAGTGGTTTGTATTATACCTTAGTTACTGGAGAGCTGTTATCTCAACTCGTGGGAGTTACATTCCTCCAATTCTCCTCCCCATCCCTCCGGGAGCGGGGGGAGGAAGGAAAAGGGAGGGAGTGAGCGAGCGGCTGCGTGGTTCCAAGTTGCCGGCTGGGCTTGAACCACGACAGATTTGAAGCATCTTTCCTTGGTGGTGATATACAGTAGATTCTCCATTTGTTGGTGTAACATGGTTCACATCTCTGTCATTTCTAGGCACAGAATGGTGTTTGCAACTTGGAGCAGACACATTCTGTTACAGTTGAGCATTCACATCTCCCACCCTTTTGTAATTTCTTATTTGTACAGAAAGTACATTGTTTGTCCTTTAGTTGTCTTGGTTTGTTCTGGGCACCCATTTTTGTTTCTTGATATTCAATGGATCGCTTTCATATGACTTTCTGTTGGCATGGCTGCATCTCTTAAGTGATTGCTGAAAAGTTAACTGTAAATATCAAATACCACTTGCAAATAGGAAGTACAACTTCTCTTTTTCTGTGGAAGATGAATATTGAAACATAAAGCTCTGAAATTGTTCAGGGGATGCACTGCACTGTATCCCTGTTGCATCAGGGTGCACACTAATGTATCAAAGTTTCACTGAGCTAAATTCACCAGATGTGAGACTTTAAGGAAAATTCCAGGTGGGTCATAGAGAACAATACCTAGGGTTGAATGTGCCTGGATGAAGCTTGCAGAGCATTGCTACTGCACAGCGGGACAGGGTCTGCCATCTTCTTCTACTGCCTTGTTTAACTTCTCTTTCCATTAAGCTTGGAAGCCACAGTAGAAGTGGTATCTCTCACCATTATTTAAAAGCACATTTGTGGGCTCTGGTGAATTGCATTGGACTGTGCCTTCATGGAGGTCCATCCTAACTCTTCTATCAAACTGATAGACTGTATTAGGCATTAACTGTGGGGTTTGGTAGCCAGAACTGCAGGGGTGGCCTGTGTGAGAGGCAGTTGTGTGCTGACCTGTCACACATATTGAAGAAAGGGGACAGCCACAAGGACACGTGAGCACACATGAGGATGCATGTGAGGACACACACAAGGCAATGGGAAGAGACAGGGGAAGAGATGGGCATTTGGAGCAAGGGAGCAGCAAAGAGAAGGATATGAAAAGAGTGAAGGTCAAGGAGAGGCAACAAGAAACGTCTGGGTCCTGATCCCAGCCTCCTGTGATAGCTGTTGTCTACTGAAGGGATGTGGAAGGGACTTGAGCATACCACCCAGTGAAAACAAGTGAAGTTGGGGTAGGAGCAGGGGAGGAGAAGCACTGGACTGAAGTGGGGCCTGAGGAGGAAAGGTGCTCCCCCAGATGCTTGTTTAACTCTTGGTCTTTTTCCTCAATACCTGAATCTGTAATGAAAAGTTTATGTTAATTCACAATAAAGTGTATTTCCTCAGTCAAGACTGACTTGCCCACATGGCTCTAATTTCAGAAGGCATTGCAACATCACCATTACGTGAGCTAAAAGAACTGATGAAAAGCCGAACAGTGGGGAGAAATGTGGTACTCAGTAACTTGTACCTTGTGTGTAGTCAGTGGTCTCACTCACAAGAGTCGATCATTTGTTGTGTTTCATGTAATGGAGGGAAATGTGCAGCTTCAGGGGTGTGCTTTTTCCATTTATACACTTTTTTTTAACCAAGTAGGATCTCAGAAGTGCTGTTGAACTTGCTTTGCTTCAGCCTTCTTGTGAAAATTGAGTTTTCATACTTAATCATTAAAACATGACAGAAAGATATCTGAAGCATGTACCACCTTTTTTTTTCTCCTTTCATCTTGATTCATTCATTAGCTTCCTCGAAGCCCTCCAAGACATAATTAACCCTTTTTTTAATACTGTGAGGCTTGAAATAATAATTAAAACTCATTAAAGCAGGGAAACTTACTTTCAAAAGCAGGTTTAATATTAAGATTTTCCTGATTTCTTTTCCTGTGGATAGGGTAGAATACTTAGAGTATGGCCATCACAGTTCCAGTCTTACCTGACTGTTCAAGTAATTAATGATAATTGGTTGCTTTGCATTGCAGAACTGTGCTCCGTGCTAGAAGATTCTTTGAAATAATTTTCTATAGTGGAATGCTGTCTTCTGAGTTTGGACTATATAATAATGATACTGTCTTAGAGTTCTTTTTGTCCAGTAAGAAGAAAATATAATTGAAGTTAAAAATACATTACCAAAAGTCTTGCTTTTTTCTCTGCCTTTACATTCTCTTGTATTGTGAATTACACTGTTGCCACAGCAAAACAAACATCTTCTTACATTTTCTGATTTGCCAAGTTTTGGGGTTTTTTTTACGTCCTTTAAAATGCACAGATACGCAGTCAATTTTATTTTACTGCTAACTTCAGTGCTCTTGTGCAGACATACATGAATTGGATCTCACTTAAAAAAAGTCTATTTTTTTGGTATTCTGTTAATTGCCTAGTCTGTTCCTAGTATTATATAAATGATCTTAGAACTGAGATATTGATTGGAATAGACGAAATTCAGAACAAACTTCAAAGCTCCTAGGCAGCATTGTTTTCATCCTGCAAGTTTTTGCAGGAAGGAAGTGACACATTGTGAAGTACCATGAAGTAAAACGGTGACTTTAAAGTAATAAACTTCCTTGGGTTTACTGAAACTGCAATAAAACTGTCATGAAGCACTGTCAAAGCATTGATTTATTTGTACTACTAATATTAGAAGCAATAAAATGTAGGATTTACCGGTATGGTTATAGCATTTGTTATCTATTTTATTAGACAACTCAACAGGTATATTACATTGTACAATCATAAAATATTTTACAATCTTTTACTGAAACAGAATATTGATAGGGAAAATAGTTTTGATATTTATCCTTCTCTCAGACATGAGCATACTGGATTTTTTTATGGGTCATTTGTTGCTAAACTTCTAGTTTTATCTTAAAACTGACAGTGAGCACCGTGGAAAGGATGTGCTTTTGATTATTGCGTACTATACTTGGTAACTGAAATTGTAATTCAGACTAGTTCTATTTTCTAAAATATGTTATTTGGAAACAGTTGCATTTCTCTTTAAAGATTCTTTTTAAAATACCAGCAGGTCTATCTTTGTTCTAAAAATATTAGTTGTTATATACTTACAAAAAAGCTAGATAACTAGTAGAACATGATTTTTAGAAACGCTCAGCATCAACCTAATTCTGACCAGAAGAAACTGAAAAATGTGAGGACTTAGGCCACTCCTTAGAAATCTCCATGTAGTTGCATGATGATATTCTTATCTGCTGCCTCAGTGAAGTGAATTACAAACTGAGTGAGAAATACTATTATAGTCTGTCTGTAGGCAGATGTGAAAGCTGTAATCTGCTAGCATACCTTTTACTTGATAGAAAGCAAGGTATGATAGAGACAATAATTTGGAAGAAAAATTATATGAAGGGAAAATGTATTTGGATATGTCCCTGCACAGAGGTACAACAGCATTATGAATGGGAAAGTGTTACATTAATAGCCACTGACAGCTATGTAGACATTTCAAGAAATAATACAACTCATAAAGATAGAAACCTTGGCAGTGTTCAAGGCCAGGTTGGATGGGGCTTTGAGCAACCTGGTCTAGTGGAAGGGTAGTAGCCCATGGCAGGGGGGTTTAAGGTTCCTTCCAACCCAAACCATTCTATGTTTCTATAGAAATGTAACAGTGCTTTGTGCCTTGTTAATAAAATACGCTAATTCTAACCAACCGTGCAATTATTTCAAACAGAATTCTACAGCTTAGCATTATTTGAATTTAGAATTCAAAGCTTTCTCAGCCACAGTGATTTGCTATAGCTACTTATCAGTACATTATAAAAAATACAATGATTCTTCATAAGGTTTTCCTTATCCTTCTTTTTAAGGTTTGGGATGCTGTAGATACAGGCTGCTGTTTGAAAACATACTTCTGTCACTCCTGTGCTGTTCGAGCTGCCCGGTGGTCGTCTTGTGGAAGAAGGATTCTCAGTGGGGGCTTTGATTCCATGCTGCATTTAACAGACGTGGAAACAGGTAAAGGTCACGTAAGGGTGCATTATAGCCCTGTCTTTATCGAGTACAGATAACTTTGAATCTCACTAGCCTTATTCTTTCTTCTAAAAATGTAGATAAAAATCTATAGTTCCAAGTTAGAATTCCTGAAATCTGTCCTCGCTAAAAAAGTCTCAGCAATTAAGGGTAGTTGGAGATACTTAAGAAAACTCAAGTATCTTTAACTTCATGAGCATATGTAATTTCTGTTATCACATACAGAATGTGTATTTTTTTTTTTTTATGCTCTGTCATGATCATTCATTAAAGAGTTTGAAGAGCTTAAGGCTGAGTTCAGTAACATTTATACATATGGTTAATTTAAACATAGGCTTGTATCTCATTCTCAGTTTGGTTGGTTTTAAGTTTGTGCTGAAAGTTAATTACTTTTTTTTCCTTTTTTTTTTATAGAAACTTAAATTCTGTTATGAAACCTTGAGAGTGAACCTGTGTTGTTTTGATGCAGTTGTGAATTTACTTTGGGATTTGAATGTCATGACCTAATTTCCAGGATGATGTCTCTCCTCATGTTTCCTTCATAAACTAAAGCGGTTCTATTAGCTATATTTCTTTTCTCCTTTATGCATGTTGCCAGCATTCAAATGGCAGCACTCATTGGGGCTGTGCATAATAGGGCACCTCTGCGTGTGTATAAATGATTAGACCTAAAATAGTAGTTGTCAACTGAAGAGCTGCAATTTTATTTTTTCCAGTTAATTTACTTTTAAATGTTTAAGTCCTGCAAAGGTGCAATATTTTTTTTTGTAAGACTACAAAAGAAATACTTACAGAAATGACAAGCAGTTCTCATCTAGGAGGGTTCTCTGTTATGTAAAAGAAGTACATTGTATGCGAATATCTGGAGAGCAGCAGTCCTATTCAGATGAACTGGGAAAGCGGCCAACGAAATTTGCGAATATTGTTCACATGAAAAGAAGATTCTTTTCCATGGTCTAAGAATTTATTTTTCTCAGTGTTTGTCATACCAGAAGTGTTTAAATTCAGTGACTACTGGAAGGGAGCTGCTGTAGTTTGGGAATGTAAAACATGTGGCACAGTTACGAAATATTGATGTTTTGAGAATATTCATGTTTTTTGTAAGGAGGAAAAGAGCTTTATATGTCTGATGTAGTAGTATTACATGAGGTTAATATACCAAGTCATTAATTTGTCAGACTTATTGGCATTTTTTTATTTTCAGTCTCATTGCAGCAACCTTAAAATTTTTAGTCTCTTACATAACTGAATCTTACTAATCCAAGTTGATTAGTAAGAACTGTAGTTCTTACAAATTCTAAACAGAATGGCTACCTTCTTAATGGGATTTATAGCAGTAGAATAGATTTGATGTGCCTGAGTCATTTGAAGGGGATTACTGTAGGGAAGGGATTACTGTATGGAAAATCTCATTTTATAAAACAATTGAACAAATTCCAAAGATATGTTATTCTATTTATATACTTTAATTTCTAACATCTTTTTGACTCAACTATCCAGTAGTGGGATAGTAGTCTGGATTAAGTTGTTGGTAGTGGTTCTTTTGGAAGAAGGTACTTCTAGTGTTTTAGGCAATGACAATAACAAATTTGAAACCAAATTGTGAGTTACATAGTATTTCTATCTACTTAAATAAACTATGTGTAAAGGCAAAATGAATGCTTATAATCCTTGCAAATACCAGATATTCATTATTGCCTTATTTCTAGGACACAGGATTCCTTGTAGCTCTTGTGACTGCAGTTGTAATGTTGATGTTTAGACCTGACTTAGTGATACACACCTTGTTTGGAAAAATTGCACAAGTGATCAGAATTTTATTGTTATTTCCTACACATGCAGACCAGTTTCTGATTTCCTTCTCTCTTGTAAAGTTACTTTTTTTTGTCATACATTTTAGTCAATTCTTTTCAGAGAAACAGGGCAAGCAGTTTGCCTCTGGAATCCAAATCAGTTTCATATAAAAAGCCTCATTTCCATTTGAAATACACTAAGATGGCTATAAGATTTTGATTTACATTAGTTCACTGAATCATTCATTCCTCCTCACTCTTCATCAGTGCTGAGATGATTTCTTCTTTGATTAACTTCAGATAGTTGTTAGAACTGTTCCTTCACAGAGAACTTTAGATACATTTTTGGACTTCGATCTTAATTACTTTCTGTTGCTAGACTGGACTAACTACCAGTGTGTTTAAATCCAGTAAATGCATACTGATGAGATTTTATAAATAATAATGCTGTCTTTAAGGCTCTGTGCTCTCTCTCTTCTGTATGTTGTTCTGGTTCAGCATTTTTCTAGTCATGTTTGCCAAAGTCTAATCTTTCTTGTCTTTTTCAGTATGGATTCTATATATTGCATCTGTGCTATTAAAATTTCTACATGTCCTTCTCCAAAAGAAACCTAACAGTCTGAAAAGAATTACTTTCAAAAGTTTAGGAAAGGTTGCAAATGGAGCTTAGAACATGCATGGTATTGAGCTGCTTAGTTGGAAGGGTTTTTTTTTTTTGTCATTTTGTGTTGTTTTCTGTTAGGAACATAGTTTCTGCCCTATTAAATCAAAATTGTAGTCTAGCTAATTGTTTGTTCTGGGTCTGATGACAGCTAGTTGTGATTCTTCAAGGAATGTGCCAGCATGTTGTAACAATCAGTGGTAGAATAAGTTCCCCAGGAAATTTTGTTTCAAAGCTTGGACTTAAGTTTGGGTATCCCTTGGTCTAGGATGCTGGATGTTCTGGAGAGATCTTTAAAAATCTATCTATCTATTTATTTATTTAGTTAGTTAGTTATTTTAAATCTTTGTGATCTGAACACCATTGGAATAGAAGCAAATAGAGCAGATTTTTTTGTTGTTGTTGGCATAGAAATCCTCATGCAAGGGTAGAAGACGCATACATGAAATCTTATCCTGCAGTTTTACACCATCAAATGGCTTCCCCTTGTCAAGTGTCTTTAATGAAAGTTCTTATATATATTGGGAGGTCTAAGATTCTGCGAGCAGGGAAAAGAGGAACCTCGTAAGGTTCAACAAAGTCCTGTGCAAGAGAACAGGCTAGTGCTAAACTGTCTAGAAAGCAGCTTTGTAGAAAAAAACCTGGGGGTTCTGATGCTGAAGATGAATCAGCATTGCTTTCTTGCAGCAAAAGTTACCTTCATCTCAGGCCAGATTTGTAAGAGTTTACCTACTACATAGAGAAGATTATGCAAGGCTCTTTTCAGAGATGCATGGTGAAAGGGAGAGGCACAGGACAAATGTAAGAACGCAGGAAACTTTTTGACTCAGCTCAAGGGTCATCAAACACTAAAGCAGGTTGTCCAGAGAGACTTTAAGGTCTTCATACTTGGAGAAACTCAGATACTTCAGTAACCCCTAAGTAACCTGCTGCAGCTGGACCTACTTGTGAGTAGGGGTTTGGACTAGACGCCCCCTGGAGGTTCAACCTGTATGATTTGTTGATGCTGTCATGGAAGAACAGGG